TCTGATTGGCTGCTGCCCCAGCGACACGGCCCTTTTCCCCGTTTGCCTCTCGCCTGTGTTCTCAGCTGCTTAATTGAACTAATTAGCTGATCAATCAGTGGTGTTTTTGCCACATCTCTACCGGAGCAGCTGTCTCTGGCTCAGGCGCTCACACAGCAGGTGTTCTTCCCCGGAACAAGGAGGGGGGGGGTCGCACACTGGGACAGACGGACCCCTTCTCGGAGCTCCTCCGTGCGGGGGTGTGGTGCCGGCGGTGGGGGGCTCCAGGCGGCAGCGATCGTGCCTTCCTGCGCGCAGCCAGCGGGTGGATGATTGACCACCCAGGCCAGCGGCGTGTTTGCTCTGGAATCGCTGTGTCACGCCCTCCGTGTCATCGGCCCCGGCAGCCGCTCCGATCGGGAACACAGGGAGGTGAGAGCGGATCCCTACGGATACAACAGTACAGCCAGGGCCTCTGCCTCACGCTTCACAGCCCCACGGCAGGGATTGGGGCTCAGGGATCGACGCCCTGCAGCTCCGCGCTGAAGGAGACTGCGGGAGGACTGCATGTCGCCTGGTCAGTGCAGCTTCTTGCATATCTGGGACTTTCACAGGTAGAGCAATAGGAGCCAAACCTCTTCCCCATATTTCAGTTTGCGTCCTATGTTTCTATCCTTCAGGAGGGCTCTTTTACCCCCCAAGTGAGAGCAAACGGTTTCAGGTTGTTGAGAAATCTCGGCGATGTTTTCTCAAGCGGTCCTGCTGGATAAGCGACAGACACGGGTCCTGGGCTCAGCTCTGAGGGGGGCTGTGTGCTGGGGGCTCCCGTGTGATTGAGCAGCAGGAGGGCTGGGGGTGGCTCCGGGCTTTGGACCGGTCCGGTGGGACAGAAAGAACCGAACGTAAAGGATTCAGCACAGCGAGCAGCAGGAACAGAACCCCAGGCCCTCAGCCAGTCTCACTCTCCCTCCTCGCGCCTGCCTGCTGCAATGTGGGATTCCGTGGTGTTCCTGCTCCCGGTGCTGGTGCTCCTGAGCTCGGCTCTCCTCCTGAAACTGGTCTGGAACTCGGCCTCTGGTGTTCTGTGGCGGCTGGGCCTGGGCCTGTGGGCCCGGTTGCGGACCCGGCTGGGGCTCCCCCAGCCCCACTCGGATCGGCCCCAGCTGATCTGCAAGCCCTCGGCCCTGGCGCGCTTTCTCCTGCGCCACTGCGGCGCCCTGGCGTGGCCCACGCTGACCCCCTGGCCCTGGGGCGACCCTCACGTCCAGACGCTGCACAGCTTGGCCTGGCCAGCAGGGGGCGCCGCAGGCAGGGTGGACTTCGCCCGAGAGCACCTGGAGCTGCGGGACGGCGGCATCGTGGCTCTGGACTGGGCAGTGGCGGCGGCGCCAGGGGGCAGCAGCAGCAGCAGCAGAAGCAGAGCCCCGCCCGCCCCGGCCTGTCCCCCCATCCTCATCGTCATCCCCAACTCCTGGGGCAGGCGCACCCTCCACCTGCAGCTGCTGTGCAGGCTGGCCCTGGCTCAGGGCTTCTACCCCGTGGTCTTCAACCGCAGGGGGCAGGGGGGCTGCCCCTTGGTCACCCCGGCGCTGCAGCCATTCGGGGAGCCCTCCGACCTGATGGAGGCCGTGTCCTACATCCGCTGCCGGCACCCGTCCTCGTCTCTGCTGGCCGTGAGCGAGGGCTCGGGCTCGGGGCTCCTGCTGTCCTACCTGGGGGAGTGCGGCTCCTCCTCCTACCTCACCGCCGCGGCCTGCCTGTCGCCCATCTTCCTGGGGCAGCAGTGGTTCGAGACGCCCCTCCCGGCCCCCTACAGACTGGGCCTGCTGCTGTACCAGAAGCTGCAGATCAGCAGGTAAGAGCGGAGCCCGGATCGACAGCATCTCTGCTAGTTTAATAAGACAGACCTGTTCTGAGTTACTAGATATTCTTGTTTTCCACACTTTGTAAATTTTGTAGAACATTTAGCTCTACGGCAGCAGGGCGTTGTGGGTCTTGGGCTCGATTCAGACTTGGGCACCTTTTGTTTGGAGTCTGCATGTTCTCCCCACGTCTGCATGGGATTCCTCCCTCCTCCCCCAGACACAGAGGCTGTTAATTATTGTCTCCGAAGTGCCCCCTTGTGGGGTGATGGGCTGTCCCGTGCAGGGTGCAGTCCCGCCTCGTGCCCTATGCCTGCTGGCTTGGCCTCTACAGCAGGCAGGGTGAATCAGTGGTGGACGATGGGCGGCTGTGTGGCCCAGCCTTGCAAGATTGGTCAGGAAAGGTACCCTCCTTCTGCACCAGTGACTGAAAAAGGAGCCACCGTCACACACGTGGAGCGGCAGCGCTGCACTGCCCTGGAGCAGCCTAGATCTCTCCGAGCGCAGTTGAACCGGGGGTAGGGTCAGCCGGCAGGTACCGTTTTTTTAAGGCGAGATAATTCTCCTTTACACCCACGCCGTGATCCGTAACAGTCGACTCATTTACCATTTTCCACGTTCGTTTTTACAATAACTCGTTCAGTTTACATGCCCACCCGGTCAGGAATCTGCCGTTTGTTCAAGCGCACTGGGGCCAGGAGTACAGGCCGTGCGTTTCCCTGCCTGGGCCCGCAGTGGTGCCCTTGCAGACGCTTCCTGGAGCCCAGCTGAGCGGTTTCTCTCCCCCTCAGGTACGGCACCGCCCTCAGCGCGGTGATGGATGTGCAGCGGCTGCTGCGCTGCTCATCGCTGCGGGAGTTTGAGGAGATCCAGTTCTGCTCGGGGGGCACCGGGGAAAAGGGAAAGCCCCCCTCTCCGGACTGGGAGGCGTACTGGGAACGGAACGAGCCGCTGCGGGACGTGGATGAGGTGGCCGTGCCAGTGCTGTGTCTGTGCAGCTGGGACGACCCCGTCAGGGGAGACCCCCATGCCTCCCTGCCCCTTGACCTCTTCCAGACCAGCCCCTACTTCCTGTTGGCGCTGACGGGGCGCGGCGGGCACTGCGGCCTAAGGGGCGGGCGGGAAGGCAGCGCGTGCTGGAGCCACTCCGCCGTGCTGGAGTACTTCCGGGTCGTGGGCGAGTTCCTGCAGGGCGAGGAGAGGGGACGAGACGCAGGCCAGCTGCCGCGCCACAGGACCAGCACGCTGTGGACACGGCGCCGCAGGGGAACCCTGCTGAGGAGAGACAGACACTCCCCCGCGGCCAGCGCTCAGCTCCCCGAGGATCTGTTCCAGTGGCAGCGCTCCTACACGCGCTGACCCGGGGCAGGGGGCTCCCCGCCGCGGTACCACCAGGATCTGTCCAGGACCGCCGCGAAGACAACAGCCAGACGACGCAGGACCTGGAAATGGCTGGCGGCCGATACAGGCTCCAGGACGTGACGAGCTGTGCCAGCTGAAACACGGACAGAGGTCAAGCCTCCTCCTGGGTGTTTTTTGCTGTGCTGAGGAAGAAAAAAAAAATGGAGACAAGCAGCTTTCCCTAACTATTGATTCCTTATTTACATTTCAAAAAAGAATCCTGCGACTGATCCCTAGCTCCCCGTTTGTTTAAACAGTACATTAATACATCACTCATTGCTCTTCTGTCAGGGCAGCGACATTGGAACCCCAGGCTTTCAGAACTGCTCTTTCCTATACAAAACAAACCGGAATCCCAAACTGGGCCAAGAAGAGAAAGGTGATTTACTGCACCAGTGTGAAGGTGGAGACCTCAGGGCTGTACTGAGGGGGTTAGACGAGCTGCTTCTACACTGGCAGGCTGTACAGCCGTGGTACCCATTGCCCAGAGACAACAAACAGGAGACCTTTAACATTGTGCTGTTAAAATATTGGTGAGGTCGAATCGAGAATATTTTATGGCTCTTTTAGTTTGGCCTGCATCAGTTCCTATAAAATATGTAACAGCACAATGAGCAGCCAAGCGCAGGACATCTCAAATCTCTCTTCATGGTCCTTCAAGGTTTGCCCGATGGTTGTTACCACTGGATTAAAGCAGAGATCAAAGTCACGTCAGTGTGCATCACTTAGTCATGTCACCAACAATTGAAAGCACAAGTGAGGAGCTTGAGATGAGTCAGCTGTGTTCAAACGAAGGAGCGTGACACCAGAGCAGCAGGCTGGGGGAAGTATACACTCACATCGAGGCCCACAGACTACACACAGGCCCTGCTGGAGCTGTCTGCTCACTCCCCAGAACATCTCAAGCAGCCTCTCCAGGCCAGGAAAACATCAGGCAGAGACATTTGTACTAAAATTACTTTATTACAGTTGATTCTTTGTCCAGTATCCTCCGTGAATACGAAGGAGTAATTACAAACAAAATATTACATGACCCTAAAGTTGTTGTTTTTTCCTCTGTCGCTTTAATTCACTTATTTTATTTTTGTAATCCTCTTTCCGACATTCAGTAACAGATTCACAATCTATACATTTAATACAGGTTATAATATGGGCTGTAATGTTATGTTGAACCAGGAAAAAAAAATAAATGGCAGAATACTGACAAATACACTGTACAGAACTAAATTCCCCCGCCCCCCTTTCTGCCCCAAAAGCACTCCCCCCCAACACCCCCCCTCCATTGGCGGAAAAGGTAGGTAAGGGTTCAAGAGCAGCACCACAGACAGGAACCACAGCAGGGGCGTTTGGCCAATCAGTAGGCAGGATTTCACTCTACAATACTAGGATACAGTCTAATTGAAAATATCCTGGCGTTCCTGACTCGGAAACGTCTAGTGTTTCAGCTGCTGAAGGAAGAGGCCCTGATGGCTCCAACTGGCCCAGTGTCAGACTGAAGGGAAGGCAGTGCTAACATCATACACTTCACTGAGCTGCTTTCAGGCCTGTCAGCTTTGATTAGGAAAGTGACTCTTGGAAACACTGGCCACCTCATTATTTCATCCAACAAAAATGATAGGATGCAACAGCATCAATCAAAGCAGAGGTCTGATACTCGGAGTGCCTTGCCTTTCGCCAGACTAACACCGTCTGCCTTGCACTGCAGAGCCTATTCAGAACCTGCATTAACCTCAATCAGCCTAGGAATGGAGTCGTATCCACATAATGGCGCTAAATTGTAACCATCAGTAGAATGCACTTTTCTTAAAAAGGTTGTTTTTAAGTGCTTGGCTCTTGAGCGGCTACATATTTATATATAGAAACCATTGACTCAGTGGATTGTAGAGACAGCTACCGTTAAAAATCAAATTTCTAATTTTACTAAATAATTGTAGTCATTTTAAAACCTTTGGGCACAAACTAATCACCCCCCCCCCACATGCAGAACGGAAGCATTTAATTTGCTATTAAATAGAGCTGCCCTCTGCCACTCTACAGGGATAGTCCAATAGCCTTGTGCTCTTAGTCTAGGGAAGGCTGCAAATATTAACCTGTCTCCGTCTCCTCTGTGCTTCCAGATGCACTAGATACATTTCTCCATTTGTTAAGAATTACCAGCTATTTTTTTGTTGTTGTGATTATCACAACTATGATTACAAACCAGAATTTGGACAGGTTTTATCAAAGGCAATGAGTACACTGCTATGGCGAGTGGGGCTCAGGAGACTTGACTGTAAAGCTGGAGCCTGGGCAGCAGTGAACTGCCCATTTAACCTGCAGCTATGCTGTTTTGGGGGGGAAAGCAGGAGAACATTCAGATCCCCATTTATTCAACTTGACCGCCTACAGTATAGTATAGCACTTCTAATCCAGAGATTAAAAAACTGGTTTAACGTTAGGAGATGCCTCATGCACTGCTGGTTTCAAACATCTTTTTAAAAAGAGTAGCACAGTTTAAATATCTCATTACAGTATACAAAAGTGATGTTTTAGATAAAAGCACAGGAAGCTCCAAACAGCAATAAATTATTTCTTGCACATCCTGGCTTTAAATGAAAATAAAACAGCGTTTAAAAAAAACATATCTGGTTTCTGATTGGTCAAACCCCCTTACCTTTGAACTGTGAACTTTGTGGGCTGCCCCCGATGCCACCACCTCTCTGTGGAGGAAGGGAGGTGTTTTCTCTGAAGGAAGAGAAGAGGAGGAGGTGGGGAGCACTTAAGCGTCAACCAGAAGAGGCAGTTTTTCATTCGACTGGCAAATCTACTGCCTTTCCAACACCCCACTCCCTTCAATAGGGAAATCCTTTTCTTCCCTAGTTTGTGGCGGACAGTGGCTACAACAGATTCTTGGCCAAAATGCGCAGTGATGATGATTCTGGTGGAAAAAAAACAATCCTGAGAGATGAGAGCAGTGCAGCAGAGCCACACTGCTGTCGAGCAAGACTGACAAGAGTCGAAAGGGAAAAACGTTCTGAATAACATCATGAGGCCCGCAGAGGCAGAGAGCAAGAGGAGAGACAGCGGCGCGAGGGAGTGAGAAAGCGGTGAACAGGTGGCAGATCGGCAAAGTGAACAGGCTGGTGGATACAGAGCCAGCCAGCTGGGTTAGTCTCTCTGTGGGAAACATCTCTCTCCCTGTACAGACTACATCATATACAACAATAAGATTCTTTTTTTGTGTTTCTTTTTTTTCTTTTAAATATTAATGTTAGAAACCAAGTATTTTTCTCTTTTGTTTAATGTCTTCACAATACAAGCAGTTAATTTCAATTTTTAATTTTCTTTTAATTCTAAATATACAATATAAACATTTCCTATACACCCCACCCATACTGTCTGTAACGTTATATATCAACATCTTTTTCCCCACATTAAAGATTTGAGAATATTCTTCTCCCTAAACTGCATTTTAACTTAGCTGTAACTCAAGTGTCCTCGCGGTGTCTCTAGACGCAGCCTGAGGCGTTGGGGTATGGGAGGGCTGGGGAGATGGGGGGGGGGGAGACACTGCAGGGACATTGCAGGGGCAACACCAGCAACACCCACCCACCCAGGAGAAACGCTGCGCGGCTGAGCCCTGCCAGGGCCCTGGGGGAGAGAGGAGGTGTCAGTGGAGGGGGTGTGTGAAACCACTGCCCAGAAAGATCAAGAAGGTGTTCAGTCCCAGCCTTGAAGGCCACTCGGGTCACCTGGTTTCTATTCCAGTGGAGCCACTGAACCTGCAGGCCAGCTCTCTTACACGATTCAAAGACCCAAGACCTGGACATGAGGCCTGACTGAGCAGGCCCCTAGCTCAGTTAAGGGCTCAGTCGGGTAACAGAGAGCTGAACTGGCAGGAGAGTTCAAGAGAGGACCGAGGAGCACTTGGGCAGAGCACACCTGCTGAACGAAACCACTGCCGGCTACTGCTGCTCACCACACCCGCCGCCTGCGGCCCACAGCCCCGAGCTCCAGCTGCGGGCCCAGGCTAGCACTGCCTGCAATAGCACACAGCCCCGAGCTCCAGCTGCAGGCCCAGGCTAGCACTGCCT